CTCACTTTGAGGACGCGAGAGAGCAAGGGGAGAGTGGCTAGCTCCTCAGGCAGGGTTACAATCCGTGACTTGACAAGACGCCAGAGCGCACGTCTGCCGGCCGCCGAACCAGTGACGCTCAATAGGGTACGGTAACGGTCCTGCTTGCGCACGTAGTCAGTGAAGGTGAGTTGGAAAAGACGCTGAATGAGCTCGGGACTGGCGGAGGCGCCCAGGCAGGCTAAAAGGCGCACGCGTTCGGAATGCATTGTAGCCTTGTCATGCAGCTAGCGTAGAGAAAAAAAGGATTCGGTAATAGGTCCCAGTACATTCGGCAACTCAATGTTTACCCTTAGATGGGTGGGAATGGCTAACTCTATCGCAACATGCCATTCAGTCGACTTTGGTCGAAGGAAATGATTTTTTACCATCATAATGAACTTAAACGCGCTAAGCACTTCATTGACAAGTGGTCAGCACTAAATCAGCTCTTTTCCAAGCGGGGGTATTCTAGAACCTAGGTAGAAAGAAAGGGACCCGAAGCCCACACCGTTGCGTAGCTCAGGGTCGTTTGATTGCCGACTTTGCTGCGAATTAATGGAACTGTGAGAGGAAAGGGAGTAGGATCATGGAAAGGAAAGTGGAAAGGAGACTTACTGAGAGGAGACGCTGGAATACCTCTGCGCCTCCGTCGCGCAGGCATAATGAGTAGATGGTGATTCGCAGATCGGGAGAAATGAGGTTCTCCTGCGGTTGGCCCTCCGGGGTCTCCGTTACCGAGGCGTAGTGAGCATCGAAGGCCTGACGCGCTTTCGAGATGACATCAGGATGACGAGCACGACCCAAAACGCTGAGGATGATCGGCCGCAGAAGGCGATCATTGTTGCTGTCTTCTGATTTGGCGTCAAAACCTACGATAAACAGATTAGTTGAGGAGAACCGGTCGTGCACTTCGCTTTCTGAAGCCAGTTCGGGCTCCCTAAGCAATGATCAACTGGGTAGTGGTGCTGGAACCGGTGAAAGTGGATCAGACGAAGCAAAAACGAACAGAAAACCTAAATACGACCCGGAGACACGCCCAGGGGTGTTGGAGGTACTGCTTCAGGAGTTACAAAAGCCATTACCATTGTAATGTATGCACGAATATATGAAGGCATGCCTCAGGCACACGAACATGTGATTTATCTACCAGGGTGAATCTTATGCGGGGTCAGTCCTGCACATGTGATTTAAGCATAAAATCATGAACAGTAAATATTGAGGAGGACTACGTACAAACAAAAATAACACACTAAAAGTAGACGGGGCAGGTCAGACTTACCGATCTTCTTGTAAACAGGCAGGGCTAATTGGGTGTAGAGGTTATTCAGACCAATCTCCTCCGGCGAGAGTTCGGGAAAAACAACCTCGTCACCGGCCTTGTAAGCCATCTCCTGGAGGAGGACTCGAATGTGACCCAGTCCTTGGGCTAGAACTGACCACACGCTGAAACTGTCTTCACCTGTGTAGGCTCGAGTCAAATCGAGCACAGTCTTCAGAGGACATTGACCAGCGCGAGCCTGAGAGGACACAGAAAAAAAAACACAAAGCACTGAGTTTCCGGCCCCATTCAGAGAAATCGGGGGACTTCGCTAACAGTCTCGAGCAATAAAATGTTTGTGAAAGCCTTCAGCATCAGATATTAAAGGCCCAAAAGTCAACTACGTACAGTTTGTAAGACGAATCCATGGACTATGAATGTGCGACCAGACAAAAGATTTGGTAATGGTGATCACTAGCCAGGGACATCTGTGCCGATGGCCAGGATTTTATTCAAGTTTAAGGGGTGGATATGGAAGTGAATCCTGCTGGCAGCCCTTACATGTAACGCCTACTGGTGAACATGAGCGGAGCAGTCACGGCATCGGTCTAAAGGGAGTCGCAGAACGCATGGAGCTATCGCATCAGTCTCTTCCAATCAGACTGTGGACAGTAAAGTGGATCAGCTGTTTCCTGGCAGACCGCTTGCTTCAGACACAAGCAACCAGTTCTAAACACCCCCTGGGCACCCGAATCGTGTGGGGTGGGAGTCAAAGCCAGGCTTCAGACCGATTTTATTTCCTCTGTGGCAAGCATGGGATAAAACTAACAATTTCGCTTTGGTGGATGTAGAGGGTGTCTCCAAAACTGCGCACGCAGTTTGTTTATTAAAATACGCTTTTTGCTCAAAAATGAAATAGAATCAAGACATTTTTTACTTTTTCTGACAACGCTCGTCATCAAAAAGCTCTCAGTTCTGGTCAACGCACTGCATACATGACGATGCAGTGGAATTGAAAACATCAAGAGACGGTTCTACTCACTGGTTACCCGCGGTTACTCGGCGACCGTTACTGGTTTTATAGCACCAACTTTACTCCGTGAATGTCCCCATAAAGTGGGATATTCTATGGCTCCCCTCCGTTCAATACGCATGTTTTGCAAGAGATCACCAAAGTAGGATTTCAGATGAGGGACGTATTCTCATCTGAATGAACATAAAAAATCCTCATATTTGAGGTTTACTCTGTCTGTCGTTACTGGTTGCAATGGAATAAATCCGACGGGAAGGAAACCCCCATTTAGCTATCAGCCTTAATCGTGTGTGTACTTTCCTGGAACTTCTTGCATTCATGATAGCGTCCAAAAGACTTTCTCCTTTTCCCTCTCAGTCTAAATTTTAATGAAACACATTACAGAATTGCCGGACGACAGTGGGAGTCGCTATCCCCATCCCTTCTTTTTCCACCCATATTCGATCATGTATAAGGAGATGATTTGGAGAAACAAACAAGTGCACATTGACCACTACGCCGGAAGCGCATTCACCGATTGTGTCCTTGCGGTTATGTCTTGAGGCACAATCTAGCGTCCACGAAAAGAGTCACACAGCGATCATGAATACCTACTGAAAGAGGCGTCGACAAAATCTGAAATAGTCACTCCCGATTCATTAGCCGTCAGCAGTCAGCCATACCAAACCCCAGGCTCGAAGCAACTGGGATTCGAATTCGGCAACTCTAGTTACTGAGTCTAATGCTCTATCCCCGAGTCACTTCCTCACTGTGATGTCGGTCGAGACCAGGAATATTA